AATAATAGCATAAACACAAAATCAAACAATATTAGGTACTGTGTAGTAAGAATCTTAATACTTGATGTTTCAGTAAAAAATAGTAATTGATCTCACAAGTCAATTTTAAAGTTACTTTATTAAAAATCACTTACGCAGACTTTAACTTTTTGCTTAGAAAAATAGTAAACACACTCAAACTATCTGCCAATTTGCATTGGCTTAACATGTTACCGGTACTAACAGATGTACTAAAACTCCATTTTAAGAATGTCCAACATCTTTTGTAACTAGTTTTTAGTTAGGAACAAATTCTCATCTACCACTCATAAAAAATCAAATTCAACATGAAAATGATTATACAACCTCATGGACAGAACGATGAGCAGCATATTTCCACGTGATCAACTTCTAACAATTAGATAAACTATAAATTCTCAGAAGAATGTAACATAACTAAATGCCATCGGGATAAGACCAATTTTCTAGATTGAGATTCGAATGACAACCAAAGTCAAACAGAGAAAAGTCTCATCATACTTTGATCATGTAAATTTCTAAAAATAAGGTTGAACTCCTATACAGTCAAACAATCAAACCACAGTGAAAATTGCACAAAATAACTCTACTAGTGATAGAAATAGAATGCATGAGATTAAAGGTAACCAATCAAATTTCATGTCACATACTCATATCTAAACTCAATTATTAGCCCGCTTGAGATGGAAAAACAAATATTGCAGTTTTGGGTGGAGATGTTACATGTCAAAGACCCCCTGACACACACACAAAAAGAAAAAATGTACACCGTGCATTTTTCGCATCAATTGTGTCTAACCAAAAGTTCAGAAAAGGCCAAATATCATGTAACAAACAATTCAACACTTACCAACAGAATCCTCTGGCAAACTGTTGAGTGCATTCATGGCAGCTCTCCAACCTACACAAGTTCAGAGGTAAAACGCTCGAACTCAGTAACTTAGTAAACATTTAAACATATATAAAGACGATAAACAATAAAATGGAATAGTTTACACCTGAGTTTAACAACAGTTTTCTTAACACAAATTGCTAGAACAACCTTCATAACAGTGACATCATGATATCAACTTGTTTTAAGGTTACAGAGTTAACACACATTCACCAGATCAGCAAATCTCAATTGTACTCATTGTACATTGCAAACTGTAAAGTCTCTTTCCTGCTTATTAGTTTATCAGCCTAGTAGTTTAAAGTATATATTATACAAAATAATCTGCAGGACACATCAATTTTGGAAGTTGCATAATAACCAATAACGAAGAGCTTCATGTATGGAGGGGTAATTATTATGTTGACTCATGATTCACGGGTAGTTTGAAATATTTGTTCATGATCCAGCAAAGTAACGATCATTCCAGGTCCTGCCCTATTTCTTTATTTCTTCCCTAGTAACCAAGGCTCCAGTCGTCACAGGACAGGAGGTAAAAGTCTACAGTCATACACCAGTTGCACCACTCTTATTTCTTACCTTGATTGGGTAGGAGATAGGACGGGAGGTGGTTGGAGTTACGAATCTTTAACTGGTCTCAATACTTCAATAAAATAAATATTAAAGCTGCCGTTAATCTCAGAAAAGGAAAAGTGAACAGAACATACGGTTGCTATGAAGCTGTGCAGCCTCACTGTTGCAACACCCATATAAAGGTATTAACTTTGGACGACCAGCTTCATTCGCACGATTACTGTAAGAAGAATCCATGTGATCTGCTATGGGACCACTTTTGGTGGCACCAAGGGGGTTCCTATCTCCATCATTCATATAGCTATTTGCCCGTTCGAGTCGATCTGCATAATCAAGTATAAAAGGTAAGAAAATGATGAGGCATTTTTTGAATATATCCGCGATTTCTATTGATTTCTAATCCAATAGACAAATTAATTTAGCACTCTTATGCTATACAAGTTCTTCCAAATGATTTTTATTTTCTATCTTGATGCAGCAAATGCAGAATACAATTCTAACTATTTATATGTTTATGCATAGCATTTGGTTGAGAAACATAAAAATAAACCAAGGTATTTGTGCATCCTTTAGAGAGAAAATTACACATACTATTCCTCAAGCAAACAAGGTTGGCTTCAAGCGATCACCTTTTAATGAAACTGTATGGTATAACTTAAAATAAGAAAGATTGCCTCATTGGTAGGTGCTCTAAGATCTCTGCATTGGAACCCATATAGTGTAAAATACACGATAATATTCTGCTAAAATTTTTTACTGCTCAAGGACATCATTATGCAGACTGCGTAAACATAGTTGTCCATATAATGAAGTCTTATATTACGATGTTACATTCGTTATATTACGCATCACTTTCCAGCTAAACTTTGACTAAAATTTATCATTTACTTTACCTTCTATACGATTTGACTCAAGTACTAAATTATTTTTCCTATGCTTTAAATTAGTATACTTTAAAAGAGTTTTCAAGGGTGTTTGGGCCTCCTTCTGGTCTTTGATATCAGCATTGCTCGATGAAGGAGTAATACAGATGTATATCTATATCTCTAAAAGGATGTCACAAATACCTTAGGTGTATTTTCTAGAGATTAAACAATCCATACCTATCTCACTATTTTGTGGGACACACAATATATTATTCCTTCTAATCCACTATTACTTCAATGAGACAAATACTAGCATCATAGAGCTATTTCCAGACTACTTTTTTATTATTTCACCAAGGTTTTTTGCCATGTGGAGCTTGTCAAATGCATTCATATGTAGTACTTCAATTTCTGGCACTACAGTAGGGAATCTTGTGAGCTAACGAAATCTTCAAGTAAGGACATCTCTGTTACATCATATTAATATGTTTTTGCATTCGTTCATCCAATTCCTTACATAACTTCAATCCACTCCAACAGTATACTAGCAATCTCTGCCCCTTATTAAATTTCTTTCCTCTCTAAACCAAAATTGCCTATTGTCCACTTGAAAACTTAGATTCAACTTAGTAAGTACTAAATACACGGCTGATTATAAAAGAATAAAAAAAAGCCCTAAACTTCACATTGGAATGCCGCATTCAGCATTTAGAGCCTGCGCATGTGGGCGTTGATTGAACTGCAGGTTATTAGACACAAGCAAGTGCCCTCTGCACCTAAAGCTTTCTCTTCGGCAACTGAATAGTTGAAAAAAAGCTATTCTATTCTTTTTTTCCCTGTGTGAGCCACCTTTAAGGCTTTAACAAATATGTCACTGGCCCAAGCATCAAGTGATGAATGTAGAATAAAAAGCAGTTAGGACTTAGGAATACCCAAGTATTAACTCAATTTCAGCTCTACATTTATAATCTATCCAATAGGCCTTGCCAACAAAATTAAATCATCTGTTCATATTAACTAAAGCTTCAATCTATTCCAGCCCCCAAAAATAATCAAACGGAATAAATAAAGCCTCAAAAATCTGTTCACCATTCCAAAATAACAAAGCCCTAAAGAGAAGACAAACTGCGGGGTGGCCGGGCGGGTTTGGAACAATTCAATGTGTTCCTGCTCTAAAATAACGGAAGCCGACAAGTCTCAGACTTTAATGAACTATGTATACAATACTACTGTCAGTCTTTTTTTTTTTCAATCAACTCCTAACTTTGGTAATTGAAACTTATATCAGAACATTCCCAATAAGATTCATGAAGATCAATTAATAAATGGCCAAAATAAGTAACAAATAAAGTAATCCACAAATAGAACATGCACCAAATTGGAAGTAGAAACTGTCTCGAGCAAATTAAAAGTTCGACTCTAAGCACACCAGACTCTATCAATATTCGGATAGCTGAGATTAGAACATGGAAGTAACCAGAAAGTGAAAAATATCAAACAGATAGACGTTCATTGAAGTCAAGTGTGTGAGAAAATTGCACACACTTCAAGCAACCCAATTTGGGCATAAATAAACTTACCCCCTCCAGATTTACGACGGCCAAGAGATCGATTCCTGCATTCAATCCATCAAATCTCCACCAATTAGGTCTAAAAGTTTCTCAAAAAACCAGAGGACAAAATAGATAACAAGAAAAAAAAAAAGGTAAAAGTAAGGATGAGCGAAAACATGCACGGAAAGAAAGAGAAATATAGCTAGACTCTACCGTTGATTTGGAGGAGCATAACGCTTGACGGTGGCGATGCTGGCGGCGACAGCTGGTGAATCCGCGCTAGGGTTTTCCGGCATCGTGAATTGGATTTCTTCTACCTCGCCGCCGCCACCACCAGCTCCACCAACAAAACCACCAAGGCAGTAGATGAACTTCAGAAGCTTGTTTTCTCCAAAAGAAGTTTCTACTAAACCTTGATTGATTGTAATATGCACAGTTCAGCTCCAGAAATCAGATCGAAACAATGGTTAGAGAGTGTGTCCACTACGGGCTCTTTAAATAAAGGGGATGGTCAACCCATATATTTATTTAAAGAGGATTTCTAAAATGTTAATTGGACAAATTAACTCTCGCATTAAGTAATGGTAAATAAAAATGTAAAATACCTAAAATGACCTTTTGTTAAAAAAAAATAAAATAAAATAAAAAGAAAAGCTGAAGATATGAAACGTCCAGCGCAAGATCGAATGGAATTTTTTTTTCAATTCTTGTCATCTCTCTTTCTTCTTCTCTTCATTTTGCAAGAAATTGACATCATTTTGAATTTTATAAGTCAAAAGAAATGTGTTGATTGTAGATGAAAAAAAATCCCACCAAGGTATTTTCTTGAAGAATAAGAAAAGTGGAAAGAAATTTTTGTAGTAGGGTTTCTTGTTATTTTAATTATAGAATCATTTTAGTTCATATTTATGATTAATAAACATTTTTGTTTCATGTTAATAATGTTTATGTTGTGCCAATAATTTTTTTTTTTCATTCATTTTGTTGATTAATAAAGGAACGATTGTGCAGTTGTTCTAGGTGGCTGATAACGATTGTATATTTGTTATATGTTTAATATTTTGTAAGGGATGCAATTTCGTGGTGTGATTGTTTTATAACGATTATGCAGCTGCTTTATCTTGAAAGGAATGCAAATATGTGTGATTGTTTTGTTGTGAATGTTTTATAACGATCTTAGATTTGTTTTATACAAGTGTATGTTTGTTAGTTTCATTTCTTAATATGATATAACAAATTTAGATTGATTATGCCTTACGAAATGTAGATGCATTATGTCATATGAGAAGACATATATTTATATTGTCGAAGTAACAAATAATTTTTTCTTGTAGATATTGATTTTAACGAAGATGGTGTGGATACAAGTATGCTACTATGTTGATTTTAAAAAGAATGTAGATGGCACTTGGACGTGGGGATATGTGAAGGAAGATGAAGAAAATGTAATTCCTCTTTATGTTCCCGACGACATATCTTTCTTGGAGCTTGAAGATGTGGTCATGAAGCTTATAAAGTTCAATAGCACTTCCCATGTAATGGAAATGCTATCACTCAATCCAAGAATGAACAAATTTCCAGTTCCCCCGATGAAGATCGATTGTGATGTGAATGTGAAATGGTATCTATCCGTTTGTGACGAACATCCTCTTTGCGTACGACTTGTTGCAAAACCTGTTGAGGAAGAAAGGAACAATCAGAATTGTGAGGTCATTGAAACACTTACGTGGGATAAAGAAACTCACGAGGGACTGGAAGGTCATCGAGATAGTTTGATTGATATTGGAGATAGTCCGACTGAAAATCTTGTTGAGGGAGAAACCAACAATCACAATTCTGATTTTATTGAAACACTGACGTGGGATAGCCAAATTCACGATCGGGTAGAAGGCCAATGGGACCGTATGTTGGAGATTCGAGATAGTCCGATCCAATAAAATGTTGAAGTTGAAGTGGAAGATCAAAGCGGAACTGTTGTGTTGACAGAAGATGCTCGTCAGAATTTTTCAACCGAAGATTATGGTGTCCTTGCAAATGCAAGTCATTCTATGAGTCTGCGCCACTGTCCATCTTCGGTGCGAATTCCGGAAAGTGAAGATTTTGAATGTAACAATATCTTCCCAACCAAAAAAGATTTAGTAGATAAACTCTTGGGATTGGCTGTGAGGTTCTAGTTTGAATTTAGAGTGATAAAATCAACAAAGACTTTGTACGTTGTTGCTTGTATTGAGAGTAACTGTCCTTGGCGTTTGAGAGCCGTGAAGATAAAAAATGGTGAGATTTTTGAAGTGCGTAAGTATGTTGGAGATCACACTTGCTCTATGAGTGTGCGTACGAAAGATCACAAGCATGCAACGTACAAGCTTATTGGGAAGTACATTTCCGGAAAGTACAAAGACTCCAATTGAATTTATAAGCCGAAAGACATTATTTTTGATGTGAAAGAGAAGTTCGGGATAAGTATCAGCTACACGAAAGCATTTATGGCGAAGCATTACGGATGTAGTCTGATTCGAGGTTGTCCAGAAGGAAGTTACACAAAGCTCCCACAATATTGTTACATTTTGGAGCAAAAAAACCCGGGGACGGTCACCTTCATTGAAACAAGTGTCGAAGGTCATTTCAAGTACTTTTTCATGGTTTTAGGGCCGTGCATTCGTGGATTCCGCTCTTGTATCAGAAAAGTAGTATCTGTGGATGGAACATTCCTGACGGGGAGATATCGTGGTACTTTGCTCATTGCAACATGTCAGGATGCAAACGGTCAAATTTATCCACTCGCTTGGGCAATAGTAGACTCCGAGAACATGCTTTCTTGGACGTTCTTCTTTGAAAAGTTGAAAGACATAACAGGTGATTCCCCTGATCTTGTTATAGTTTCGGATAGGGGAATAAGTATTCCGGGTGCTTTTGAAAAAGTGTTTGAACATGCACATCACAGACATTGTAACTACCACTTGTTGAGAAACATAAAATCCGAGTTTCCAAGGTTGGAATTGGATGCATTGTTTTGGGCAACAGCCGAAGCATACACGATACGCCATTTCGAAGACAACATGGCAGCATTGTGCAGTAAGCACCCGAAACTCCGGAAATACCTAGAGGATGCTGGTTTGCACAGGTGGGCTCGAGCACATTTCAGAGCAACTCGTTTCAACATAATGACAACAAATAATGCGGAATCCTTAAACTTTGTGTTGAAGCGTGCTCGAGAATTTCCAATCCTTGGTCTGATTGAACATATAAGGGCGACACTGCAAAAGTGGTTCCACGAAAGACACCTTAGTTCTACAAAATGTAGTAGCGTTCTTACACCACCATTTGAGGAGAAGATGCGTAGCAGATACGACGAGTCGAACGGACTAGATGTGGTCCATGTAACTCAGACGATTCTGCAAGTTGGTGGAAGGCATATAGTTAATCTCGAGGAACAATTATGCACATGTCGAAAATTTGAAATGGACATGTTTCCATGTGCGCATGCCATTGCTGCAATAAGATTTGTGAACGATAATGGTTACAATTTCTGCACTATGATGTATTCGAGCTCTTCTTGGAGAGAGGCGTACTCTGAACCCGTTCACCCTTTTCCTGATGAGGCCGATTGGATAATTCCAGAAGAAATAATGTCAAGAATTGTTTTGCCGCCACCATCACGACGTCCAAGGGGCAGACCTACAGTCGAACGGAAAAAATCGGCAGGTGAGCCTCGAACAAAAACAAGCACCAAACCGCGCCAAATTCATAAATGTAGTAGGTGTAAAAAAGTCGGCCATAATCGTGGTAGGTGTGAGGAGATTAACCTCAATGAAGCGACTTGAAGTTATATTTTGACTTTTTGGTATATATGGTGTTTTGACTTTTGGTATAGTGTTTTGACTCGGCCACATGGTGTGTTGGCTTTTGGTATAGTGTTTTGACTCGTCCACATGGTGTTTTGACTTTTTGTATAGTGTTTTGACTTATTCGTATAGTGTTTTGACTCGTGTATTGTTTTTTTATGTGGTTTGTCATGTAATGAAACAAGTTGTTAAACATTGAAATTATGTTTTCTCCAATATATTTTCCGGCTCATTTAATTGAGATTGTAAAACTTGAAGTTATATTGTAATATATAAGGTATGTGTAGGCGCATTTAATCGTCCGAGATAAAAAAAACGGTACATTTGTCGTGATTTTTTAAAACACGTATATACAATCGTTACTTTGTTGAAAATAACAAACCTACAATCGTTTCTTCAAACTTGTACACCGTCGCGGCCGTGGTGTTCTGTCGCGAGGAGCGACACTGGTGGTACCATGCTGGGACAAAAAGCTTGCCAGGGACACCGCGCCCGCGACGCAGTCGCTAACGTGACAAGTGAATATGTCGCGACCGTGGTGTTTGTCGCGGCCGCGGAATAAGTGGCAAGCAATCTGTCCAAACTTTAGCTGCCCCAGTGTCGCGTCCGCGACACCAACCACGCCAGCGACACGATGTTTCACATATGTAACGACTGTAGAATCGTTGACTATTAGGAAATAACGACTCTACAATTGAATTTGACACTTAAAGTTTGTCGCTATAGCGACATCTGTCGCGGTCGTGATGTTTGGAAATGTCACGCCTGAGACGTTCGTCTCGCCCGCGACCAGTGTGGCAAGCTTTCTGTCCAAACATTATAACACAGTGTCGCGACAGCGATAGAGGCCGCGACCGCGATATTTGGACTTAACAAACTAACGATTGTAAAATCGTTAATTAAACAAAATAACAAGTATACATTCGTTAGTATTGAATTTATAATTAAAATACTTTCGTTTGTGTTTATTTTCATCTCGATCGATTAAAACACATACATTCGTTATATATATATATATATATATATATATATATATATATATATGAACTCACTACATTCGTTACGTTTTATACTTTATTTATATATAAAAAAAAAATATAAGTTACTTTTTTTATATATGAATTCACTACCTATACTAATTTGATTATAATTGATCGAGATTGTACTAATTCGAGTTCGATTGTAGTAATTTGATTTTAATTGGACTAATTCGACTTCGATTTCAATATAATTGATCGAGATTGTAGTAATTTGACTTTAATTGGACTAATTTGACTTCGATTTGATTATAATTGATCGAGATTGTACTAATTCGAGTTCGATTGTAGTAATTTGACTTTAATTGGACTAATTCAACTTCGATTTCATTATAAATGACATTGATTCTATTAATTTGACTTTAATTGGACTAATTCGACTTCGATTTCATTATAATTGATCGAGATTGTACTAAT